AAGCAAATACAGGCCAACTTAGTCAGACATCAGTCACAACCCAGGTAAACCTTGCCTGCTGCTTGTCCTAGAAATCTCAGGCTGCTCTGTTCCAAAGGACCTGTCTGGCATCTAATCCACACAAAGACAAAGGTGGCAGAAGGTAGTGGAGGACACATTCTCTGCTGAGAAATTTTTCTGTCAGTTCAAAGAGGTGATCCCAGAACATCCCAGAGGAAACTCACAAGCTTTGACAGTCTCTATGAAATAATGTGTTACTAACATCTTTTCCCACGGATACCTTGAATAGGAACACCCATGGAGAGAGCCTTCCTAAACAGGGAAACGCTTTGTTGCATGGCACTTTGGTCACATCTCTTAGAAGTAAAAATTTCCTATTTGCAGTGCTTAGTTTCAGAGCCAAGCTCTTACAAAAAAAAAAAGCATAGCAAGTATCTATTACAGAAAAATGCTTTGAAAGAAAGAAAAGCTGATACTAATGTAAACTTTACTATTATCATCTACATCTAAAGGAAGGAAAATGTTCTGAGTAAGGAAATTACTTCAGCAATCCCAGAGAGAAAGCCTAGAGTTTTCAAAAAGCTCTGACTTCCTTAGGGATTGCTGTCTAGCCTTCAATGTTTTGAAGCTGATCCCAAGGACAGCACCTTACTACAGAGACTGGCACAGGCACCACTGGAAGAACAAACATTTTAGCGGCTTCAATTTTGTGCACAGATAAGTTAAGAACTTTCATGGACTCAACTTCTGCCTCTATCCCTTTGTGAATCAAGTACTTTCTCAGGAGTGCTGAATATGGGGCTAGTGTGTGAGCCATAGAAAAAACCCAAGTCCCTGACACAAGCAAAAGAAAGAGAGGAGCCATCACTCCAGGGAGTCTCCTCCAGCTTGGAGGAACTATGTTTGAAAATTTCCTTTATGTTTTCTTCAAAAAACTCAGCAAATCCATGGCTTGTATTTTTTCTACCTGCACCATAAGGAAAAAGAGACAAAGCAAGCAATTTCCATGGTATTGCATGAAGACTTATGCAAGCTGATCTGAGACAGTACATGACTTGTGGTATTCTTCAAAATCCACTTCCTGCTTCAGTATTTGAATAACATTTATCACCACAGTGGCTGGGGACAGAAAAAAAAAATTAGTTCCTTCTTTAATTTCCTTTTCAAGCCTAAAGATTACTCTTTGTTCCTCAGTCAGAGAAGCCCATGTTTTGCATGTACATCCATGGGTGGTTATTAAATAAACATAGAGCATCTACTCTTTATTCTATACACACAGGCAGATGAAATTCCCAATTTCCAATTTGGGGACCTCCTCAGGAAAAAAGGAGAGAAAAAGCCAAATTTCCCCAGGGAGGGAAAAACCCAGACTCCATCTTGATAGGTTTTATACAATTGTGATGAAATTTTTCATGATAGATGTTTCCTTCAAAGCACTGGCTGGGCTGCATAGAGAATTGGGAGTGTTATAAGGTGAGATTTGAATTTCATTTGCTGCAGAAACCATTAGCATGTAGAAAGTGAATCAAGAAATTAGGCTAAAGATGACTAAATAAGCCCAGTGGTTAAACCCTGCTCTGGAAATATGGATCCCATTCCTCATTAGTTCCTAAGCAATATCAGACAACCCATTTGGACTAAACAGGTAAGACTAATTTCCAGTGTTCTTTTTGAAGACCAGGACTGGATTTACACAGGGATGAGTATCCACTGGATTAAATTGGAATTTAAATATAAGGAACCATATAAAACTAAATTCTCTGGGGAAAAGAGATGCTATGAATCTCAAATTTAGGATTCTTTTTAACTGAAATATGTCTGAATTTCTAAGCCCAGTCTGCAGAGCAAGATCTTACCTCACTGGGAATTACTACAGTGGCAGTGATATTTGTGAGGTACTCAGATACCAGTGTAACGACCACACTAAATTGTTCCTGAAGACATAAGTCATTCTTTCTTTTTTTTCCTTTGGTGTAACAATGTGCAACAAATAAAACACAAATTACAGTGAGGGATTAAGCTCTGCCTATGACAGAATGGATGAGTGAGGAACCAGCTTGGGTATTATTGCACTGCACTCCTTACCATGTCCAGATACAGGAGTATAGCAGCAGATGAATATGATTATGCCACTTTCCAAGATGTTTCCATACAGTTAGGTGTTATTCTGGACCCAAATGAAGAAACCCTTCAGACAGGCTGGTGCAGAAACATCTGAACTGGTTTTGGGGCACACACTTTGGATCAGGTATTATATATGATCTATGCTATTTCAGAAAAAAGGCAACATGCACATGAAGGGATAATGAGACTATTAATAAGATCAGCTGCATTCCCTGTGCCTGTTTACAAGTGGTTGCAGAGAGACTAGAGAACCCTTATGTCACCACAAACTCTTTTCAACTTGAACCCAGCTTCCTGAGCACAATGCTGGATGCTCTTCAGAGAATGGTGCTTGCTCCCAGCACCAGGCCTTGGAGAGCTCAAGCTTCATCGTGAATGCCTGACAAAAGGGCAGTTCTAGAAATCGTCTTGCCTTTTTCCCAGCCTTCATCCTACTCCCACTTTCACTGTATTATAATCTCGACTTATTTTTTTTTCTCTTCCTTTACTAGTTCAGGCTGAAAGAATCAAGGCTGAACAGAATAGTAACAGCTCTTCTAGACCAGCTAATTCAGCTAGGGAAAGCTGAACAAGCTTCCAGGTGTACAGCACCACCATCAGGTGCTTGCTCTGACATTTCTCCCTCCTGTCTGTCCCCTCAACACAGTACAGTGTCTTCATTCCCCTCACCCTGCTTCGTTGTCTCCTTCTTCCTTTCTTCTCATTCTGGGAGCCCTCTCCTTTATCCTTACGTCCTCTGTCCTCTCTCTGCATGATGTGACTAAACAGGAAAATACAGATTTATGTATTCTCTACACGTGCTTCTCATTTTTTCCGATCCATCTTTGGCTGTTGATTTCTCCTTCTTGTAGGTGAGTATCTCTCAGCTCTCTTCTTCCTTTCTCTTTGACCTTTCCTCTGCTCCTTCTAAGGCATTCTCTTTTCTCATGCTGTGAAACATTCATGCTGTCTCAAACTGTGAAATGATCTCTCTCATGCTCTCTTGACTATATCTCTAGCATGGTCCTCAGTGCTTTCTAAAGAATGCTATTGCACAATAAATACATAAGCATTGCTTCAGGGTGCTATCTTCTCAAACTGCCTAATTGGATATGGTTTTTTAATCTTAGAACATCAAAGATGCCTTAGCTATTTTACCATTTTCCTTCTCAGCTCTGTTGAAATTTATATAAAGCAATTGTGGGTTTCTTAATCCAGCTTGAGGTCACCAGCACACACAGCGCTGCCCTAGCTTGCACAGCTCGGTTACCGAGGTACAGCTAGCTGTGCATTATTTTCCATTTCCCCTTTAAAACGCTCCATCTTTCTGCATCTCCATCTCTCTCAGCGAGATTGTGCAATCAGGTGACTCGGTGACAGGCTGGTTTGCTGCATTGTGGCATCCTCGGAGCAGCGACAGAGGTTTGTACACAGAGCTCCCCGGGCGAGCGCAGAGGGAACGGCAGGCAGCAGCCCGGGCACTCCGGGTTTAGGCAGAGCTGTCCATGCACGGCGCCTTCGGTGTGTGCAGCGTCTGCTGGCCCTGCAGGGCTGGCAAGGAAGGAGCAGCCTCTCCAGAGAACACCTGCCTTTAACAGAGTCACTGCTGCCAGACATCTTGAGAATCCTTCATTATAATTGCTTCAGGGCCTGCACAGATCCGATGTTGTCTCATTATTGGGACTATTTCTTATTGAAACCAGAAATGCTGAGTCATTAAACAGGGGTCATAAAAACATCCTTATTTTTCTAAAAGCATTAGCTCATCATTTCGGGTACTACAGAGGGTAGGAAAGACCAGGAATCCTTGTGCCTGTGGGAAAGAAAATGTGTTATGCATCAGAGGCCTGGGAAGATTAGACAAGAGCCCTAAGTCAGTAACCCATTAGCAAAAGCAAGGTGCTGGTTAAAGACAGGTCTCTGGGCTCAAGATCAATTGCCATTTCTGCGTGTGTGTCACTTCAGGTTACAATTTTATCCCGGAGTATGTTAATGTCTCTCTCTGGAAAGGGACAGAACTAAAAACCTCGCTCACTTTTTTTCTGAAGACTGTAAGGCACTTCAGAGGCACTAGCCAGCTACACCTAACTGCAGGGAGCTGCTGTTACCTCTGTTTCTTCAGAGAGAAGCCAGAGGTACGGAGAGGGCATTTGTTTGCTTGCAAGCCCTGGTTCAGGACTGCACTTTCCTGATTTCTCATGCCAAAGAAAGGCATTGTTTTCCTGTGTTCTTGTGCTGCCGACGAGTTAATGTAGACAGAGAATGGATTTTAATTTATTTTTACTACCTATGCTTCAAATTTATTTTCTTACTATTCTTCCTTGGGCAGTTTTCTGAATCTGGACAGATCCTTCTGGGTGTAAAAACACATTTTTCAGAGATTATATTTCCCTATTTTAATACTGAAGCTGCAGACAAATACACTTCCTTTGATAGCTGTGTTCGATTTCCTGCACTGCAGGGAAGTCCTGTCAGCGTCCAGATCCAACAACAGGCACATGGGGGTTACATCCCTCAGCTGATGGTGTGTGTGTGTTTATTTGTTTTTGTTACGGATTTCTTTGGAAGAGTAAACACCAAGAACTCATACCGCAGGCTCGCCAGCCAAGGCACACTGTGCCACTTCGTGTTCCTGGCCGGAGCCAACACTCCGGGCGTTTGGGTAGGGCAGGGTGATCCCGGCGCTCACCTGAGCACTCACCGGCCCGGTCCGCTTCTCGGGGGAACCAGGTCCCTCCCTGGGGCTGCCGCGTTCAGGCTCCGCGCCCCGCGGTGGCCCCGGGAGGGCTCCCCCGCCTGCGGGCCGGGGGAAGCGGTGCAGGGCGGCGGGAGGACGCGGGGCCGGCAGTGCGAGGCAGTGCGGAAAGAGTTAAGGGAAGGTGGCGGGGCAGGCTGGCTGTCGGGAGCGAGCATGTGCAGATTGAAACCGCATCCATACTACGGGCGAGTGTCACTGGCACACTTCACCTCCCGCCGGCCGCGGGGCACCCATGGACACCGGTGAGGACACGAGCCGCGGCAGGGCGGGGGGGCCGAGCGGCGGCACCGGGAGCTGCCCGCGGCCGCTGCCCTCACGGCCGCCCCGCCGGGGGTGCGCGCGGCCCGCGGCGGCCTCCCCGCAGCCGAGCGGAGCGGGGGATGCGCTGCCCGGGGCGGAGGGCGGGGATGGCGCCCGGCGCCGTTGCTTTCGCTTTCTGGCGGCGGGAGGGCCGTGCCGCCCCGCCGGGCGGGTGCCGGCCGGAGCGAGACAAAGGCGGGCGGCCGAGAGAGCGGCAGCTTCCCCGCCAGCGGCGGGCCCCGCGGGGACACCGGGCACCGGTGTGTCGCCCCCTCCCGGGGAGCGGCGCAGCCCCCGCGGGCCGGGCCCCGCCGCCCCCCGCGGCTCCTCGGGGCGGCAGCGCCGGCGTGTCCGGGGCGTTCTGCTCGGGAGCTCCCGACCCCGGCCGCGAAGTTTCCGGGGCTCTGGGAAAGCGCGGTGGAAGGGTTGTTGAAATCGGAGCTGCTTTTCACGGGACAGTGGGCACCCTCCACCCTTTTTTTTTTTTTTCTTTTCCCCCCCCACAAAAAAGGAGAGAAATGTCTCGAAACATTTTTTGTATTGATTCCTGTAAAACTTTATTCCAGGCAAGGGGAAATAGCTCTGAATGAGCCCAGCGTTTGCAGAGCAGAACTGGGAGGTGGGGGCTGGCTCTAGTCCGTTCAGTGACTTTTCTGCAACCTTGTGAATTACTCCTGTGTGTAAAGCCAGAGGTCAGGGATACAGATACTACAGTCAGCTGAAAATGAGAGTTTTTTAATTTATCTTTTTTAAAAAGAATTAAATTAGTCCCAAGATGTTTGCTCTTGTTCCATTTTTGGTATGGAAAAATATTCAGAATAACTGAATTTTTGCAAAATGGAAAATCTGATTCTTTCTATCCTCCATTCACTCATTTACTCTAGGGTTTTGCAAATTGTTTCTAGGATGCTTAGAAGCAGGGATGCTGGGGAGGCTGCCCTGCCCTGTTCATCTTAAGCGGGACCATTACACCGTGACTTCCTAGAGATCATTTAACATTGCTGGTCCAAAACTACTGGGGGATGTACAAACTTGTTAAGCCTCATAATTACACAGCAGGTGCAGTAAAACTCTGGTACGTGGAGTACTTTGTATTGTTCTCTGGCATTGTTTATTTGACAGGTTTTTTCCTGTTTTCTCTTATTTCTGAGGAAAAAAGCAGTCCCTGCAGGAGCTGATTTTTTTCACAGGCAAGGTGGTAACATCTCGGTGACTGCCCGAGCTGTGTGCATTGGGGATTTGCAAGAAGAACAGATTGCCCAATGAGCTCCATTCTGTGGTTTCCAGGAGCATAAACACATTAATGTATGTACAACATCAGTTAGAGATGGGGCTAGCTACTGTTAGGTGGTAAATAGGAAGTAATGAAAATAAAAATTACCGTAAATTATTAGGAAACAGAAAAGAAAGACTTACTGACATGGAGTCCATAATGCCTGTAGGCACTTTCAGCCAGCACTGAGGAAAACTGTGTAGGAAATCCATAAGATACTCTTGCGTCCATGACTCATCCTGAAGGTTCTTCTTGAATCCCAGCACCTTGTCCCAGTGAGAAGGTGCGACTTCTTCCATGGAGAAATGTCAGTTTTCCTGTGTTAGGTGAATACACGCTCTCCTTGTATATATCTGAGAATTTCATACTTCTCTGTTGAGACTGCCACTGAAGAACATGGGTATCTCCCTATTGTAGAAGGGGAAACTGAGGTACAGGAACATGGCATTTCACAGGTCAAATTGAAACACAAGTCTTAACTTCAAATCGTTTGGTTTAACTAAAAGCTATAGCAGCTTCTTAAACAAAGCTCAGCTGCTAGAAGCAGCTGATTCAATGTGAAACATTCTGAGATGTTCTGATCACAGGTGTATTGAAAAGCCTGGTAGAAAGGAAATGGAGGGACAAGCAGAAGTTGAGGTAGGGCTGCTTGTTACTGCATAACTTCTTGCTGAGGCTCTGGCAGCATTTGTAGGCTTGGTCAGTATTGCTGTTCTCACTCTACAGAAGGCTGATGGTGGAGGCAGAAAACAAGCTGCTTCCTTGGAGGGTTCAAACCTTGGAGTTCTTGTGGCAAGAGTCCATGGCAGCATACCAAAGTGGTAAAGGGGGTCTAAAACAAGAGGTATGGATAGCGCAGATGTGTGAGTTGAGGGTAACCTAGATCTCTGCATCCATATGGAAATGGTACCTGGTAGTGGGGACTCTGCAGTTTTCCTGACAATGTCATAGTATGATGTGATGCCAAACAGGGAAAGGCAAATTTAACCTTGAAGGGAGATGCAGGTTTCTGGCTTAGAGTGTAAGGCAGGAAGAGGTTTTTGGATAAGGTGATGAACTCGACAGCATATGGAGTCTTTTAAGATATCTTTTTACAATCTATTCTTTATTCAGCATCTTTTAGATGTTCTAGGGAGTGAAGATGTAGGGATCCCTTTGGCCTTCTAATTTATGGATTTTCTTATTTCCACACATCAAGAAATGGGGAGAGGAGTTGTTTTCCAGCATTGTAAGTGTGCTTTTAATACCTGTCTGCTTGGTTAAGACAATAACTGTCCTCGGATCGGTTGTTTCAGGGCTGCTGGCATGCTCTGCATTGTGTCCAGGAGGGGAGTTTGTTCTCATGGTGTAATTAGTCAGATGAATTTAATTTCTGCCTCCTTCCAAACCGTTAGAGATGAACTGCAGTTGGGGACTGAGCATGCCAGGAAGAAGAAGGTCTGGAGGGGGAATGCGGGGGAGGGGAGGAGACTGTGCACTCTTCCTGAATTGTTGGGGGAACCCCCAGCTTTTTGCTATCATCACATGCTTTGGTATCCTCAGAATTGTATTTGTTACAGAGTCTGGGGCCAGGCTTTGTAGGTTTCTCGTTTTTCTGCAGCATGGGATCCGTGCATCCCGTACTAAGCATCATCTCTGTGAGTCTTGTTTGAAGAGTCCTTTACAAGTTTTGGAGTTGCCTCGCTGGCTGTGGTGTGCTTTCTTGTGCTCCTTGTTCATGATATGCATGTCTATTCTCCTTAGACTAAAGAACTTCTGTCTTTATCCAAGTTGTTGAGCTGTGTTGCAAGAAACTGCATGAAATTTTAATAAAATGATCTGCAGGAGATTTGACTAGGTTTTAGGCAAAAGAGTCCTTTCTGTTAAGCTGTTTCTCCTTTTTAAAAAGGAGAAAATATATTGAGGAGGCTTAAAGAATGGTAGTGTGGAGGAGACCTTGTTCTGATGGTGAAATCATAGAAGTAATGGAAAATTGTGTGGTTGCAAATTGTACCTTAGGATTCTTTGTTTCTGGATTGCCTTCAACAAATGCCATGTTTAAGAAAATGAAATTAAGTTGTGTTTTGTTTATTTTTTCAGTCTCAGACAGCCTGCTATTAAGTGGTAAGAGGAGAGGTAACAACGTGGCTAATTAAAGGGCAGCAGTGCTTCATTCCTTAGGGCTAATTATTCTCTAGAAAATGGGTCAATTACTTAAAGAAATTGTTTGCCAGCCCGAGGTAGGAAAAGCCTTTATTCCCACTCCTCACCATCCTTTTGTGGGAAGCACTTCCTACCTCCATAGCAGTTGCAGTACCGTTAAGCTTTCAGATGCCAGAGCCGTGTCCTTCAGATGGGAAAATGGCACCTGAGCAAACTTATATGTGGTCACTTCTGTCCTGTGTGTTCCTGTGTACCTGCAGATGAGGCAGTGTCCAGTGGTGTTCTTGGGTTGTTTCTGTAGTGAAAGAAATGAGGTTGAACAATACAAGTGGGGGTTCTGTTTCAAAACAAAATTTGCTTGATCTGAAAGGTGTGAAGAAGTATGGTGTATTTCCTTACTTCTTTTGGGAGAAGTTTGATCATCTAGTTAGCTAATGTTTTCCAACATAAAAGATATTGCCTGCTTATGGCTTGCTTGGTACAAGTTTGTGAACAATCCCTTCTCAGATCTGCTTCCTGTATGTGTTTTAGTATTCTCTGGTGGCTTTGTCACCTGACAATGCTGCTTGTTTTAGCTCTGCAGGCTCAGTACAGACTGGGTGAGGGAGCAGAGGGCTGGTTAGCCATTACATCAGAAACGAACTGGTCTGCTTTTCACATTTCTGTTATGATATGTGAGGCAGGAGCATCCAGATGGTTCCTGAGTTCTTCAATAAGGTAGCTGTGCAGGCGACAACAAAAAGTCTTGAAAGAAAGCCAAACTGGGCAAAGGCTTTGGCTCTGCAGGAGCAGATTACCAACATCTGTGCCAATTCAGAACAACGCTCTCTTTCTGGTTAGTCAGAACACTACATTCCTGGTTGTAAATGATACACCCAATAATGTCTACTGTGAGCCAGAGCTTATGCACCTTGCAATCCAGCTAAAATGAGTGTAAAAGGCTTTGCAGGTGCATGCTGCTCGTTATCATGTCCTCAGAGGCGAAATAAAAGCTAGACTGCTTTAGAGATTTGTTGGTAGGCATATCTGAATGAGCATACCTATCAGTTACTAGGTCAGAGGTGTCTAATCATTGCATAAAAGAGGGAAGTGTTTTATGTTACCCTTTGTTTTGTTCTGGATTTTTGTTGGTTTCAGTGCACAAGAGTTCACCACAACCTTATTTCAAAACTCCCCCGCCCTCACATGCTTCTGTCAAAGCTGGATTAAATGGCTGAGGGAATCTTCCCTACCACAAATGCTGTCTTGCTTTCATTGCATAAGATCCAAGCATTAGTAGTCACTAGGTGAGTGTTGATAGCATAGTGTAGTGAAGCTGCTATTTGACTTCTTCCTTGCTGGATCTTTGCTCTCAGGTGTGCCATTCATTGGATGTAGCCTGTATGAAGAACTTCTGGGGAGCACCTCTCTGTCCTGTTTTCATGATTCTACTGGGAGCATGACAAAGTACTTCTGAAGGGGGGAGCTCTCTCTTTAGTATGGGTAGCTCTAGCATAGTGCTATGTGTACTGCCAAGTGCCTTCTGGG